ATATATTTTGTCTGTTATTTTCAGTAATGAATCTCTGTATGGATTTGGTCAATTTGACCGATCTTGTAACCACATTAAAATATTAGAAAATATATTATATTTTAATTATAGTCTACAGTTCGATACCAAACTTATTGACATAAATTCATGAAATAGTAGTTCAATAAAATTTTGAATGGAAGTCAACAAACGAGATGACATGGCCTTTCACCTGCGACCTGTTTGGAAAGGGTTAAGTAAAATATTATTACACACAAAAGATTTGTAAGCTAATACATCTTAAACCACATGTTCCAAAAGGAAGGTAATGGATAAAAAAAAACAGACTTGAAACGAACCATATATTTTGTTGTATCATTTAAAGTTTCCTGTACTTAACTCAGGAATTATCAGTAATTCTAATATTTTTTTTTTATATTCATTTTGCCCTTTTTAATATTAGTAGCAAACAAAACTGACAAGCTGTTCTAGTACATTGTTTTATCAGGTGTGAAAATCTGGGTCCATAAATCGTATAGTTAAAACAGTATCATCATTATAGTCTGTAAGGCCTAACCACAAGGTTGAAAACAAATACACTGTAAAGGAGGTAAGGTTTTGTTTTAGTAGTTCCACATACTTATATCTTACAATCTTCCTTGATTCTACCCCCCACCCCCCATTATAGTATACGACTTCTGCTACTACAGTTATACAATATACTAATACATTAAAATAATTTTTATGACTTGAGATTAAACACTTCAATTAATGACACCCCCGAAGAGTGGTATTTAACATGTTTAACCCTAATTTTAGACAAGTGACTTTGGGAGTCATTAGCCAGACAAAGTTGATCAGAATTGGATCCCATTTCCCACATTGAATATCTCTTATGTAATTTAAATAGTAAAACAAAGAAATCCAATTTACAAAAAAATAACCTAGCACAAGATATGGGAAAATGAAATCCCAACCAGTGGATCAGGTATTCTACACATTGAGTAAATGACTATTCCTACCCTGATCAGGTATTCTACACATTGAGTAAATGACTATTCCTACCCTGATCAGGTATTCTACACATTGAGTAAATGACTATTCCTACTCTGATCAGTGGATCAGGGATTCTACACATTGAGTAAACGACTATTCCTACCCTGATAATACACCTTACATGCTTCTCGGTGGAATTTATAAATATATGTAGGTGGTTAGGTTATGTACAAAACCGTGAACTATTAACGACTTTAAGCATAAATCAAGTTACTTTGAAAGTTCTCCATAACATTCTTCATTCAACACAGTTTTTGATTCCTTATTTTGTCTTACCTTGTCCTTCATTTTTTCCTTCTCTGCAAGTTCTAATTCTGCAACTTTCGCAACTGATTCAACCCGCACTCGTGATCCAAAGACTTTGATTTTGTCAGTGTCCATGGGAGTATTCGCAATTAGGATACGAGCCTTCTCAATCCGCTTGGGCTGATTCACACCCACCTTTTTGTCCAACAAAAATCCTTACAAGAAAAAAAAAAAAGATACAAGCTTATATAATCTGTGTATGAATTTTGAATTTAAAATGTATTGTTTCAATTTATGTATGCGGGGGTGTTGAATTAAATCTGCGTTTGGCAGTACCGTCAGTGAGCCAAATTTATCTTTTTGCAAAATTAATAAAAAATACACAAATCCTTTAACCCAAAATTGTATGGACCTCATCAACTTCATAAACACAATTTTTTGAACTATTTACACATCAAGTTGTTTGTGGACCAGTGACTGTTAGATACAGGGTTCATAGTTACACAGAGATATCATCAATATTACAGTTAATCTCACTAATTACTTCCGGGGTGCCCTCTATATTTTACCAACTAAATTAATTATTTTAACCAACTTGTGTTGATGAGTTCTTTATCTCTTTCTGTACGATTGGGACAAAGTATGCATGTCATGACCACTTACAGTTTCATTCAAAACTTAAACATCCTTATTACGAATGTAAACTTGACATTAAAACTAAGTTCACAACTCCTATATAACACATTCAGTTCTCAATCTTCACTCCTCTGTGTCACAAGGTGTATCTATACTGGAATTCTTCCTTATAGACACACCTTCTCTAACTTGGCTTTCCGACCACCAGTTGATTAAAAACAAAAATTACAAGACCAATCTTTACGATTTGCCCAGATATCAATATATTTGTCAAATGCACCAGAGAAGCTCTCCCCCTCCTTGTCTATACTCTTTGCTAATGACCCTTACAAAGTTGACGAGTATTTTTCAGCCAATAAGAAAGAACATTTTATCTTCTGTCGAAACCGTAGAGGCATCAACCACTAGCTAGTATAAGTATTTCGTTTGATCATAGTTCTTTGCTATATAGTGCTTAAAGACTTTTTTTAAACCTATCTATAGCTTACGTAGAAAGCCAAATAAATTATAGTAGCTTTAGGACATTCTAGTACCTGATGTATTTCAAATGAATTTTTAGTTGAACAACTAAGTCAGTGGAACAAAGTGAGGCCAAATACAGTTAAGTTTGAATCTTGCAAAGATCACACATTTTGCTTGTGGTTTTTAAGAGGGATGGTTAATGGGCTCTTGACAGAGGATAGTGGTCAAAAGTATAGCCAATAACACCATAATATTAAAATCTCATAAAATTTTGCATTTGAAGAAGAAATGAAAGTGTTGTTCATTTTGTTTTATATTTTTAGTTCACTGAACATTGATGATTTTGATACAGCTACGGGAGTGAAAATGACAAATGAAATATGGAAAACCATAAGAGAAAAATCTTTCGCTCAGTAAAGGATGTGTAAATTGAAATATGAATCTTCAGTAGGAATACTTTTATTAAAAACCTGATGCCATATAAATGAAGTGTATTGAAGCATGCCCTAGGTGAGAGTGAAGTAGTCACACCTTCAAATTACTTCAAGATCTTAACAAGGGTCAGTGATGAACAAAGCCTTTATGTAAGAGAGTTTACTCATTCGTAAGCTGAAGTCAAACATTAGACAGGTTATTTCATTTTGTAAGTTGTAGCTTGTTTTATAACTCTGCCCTAACAATCAACCTACGCTAACTTCCAGACAATCGACCTACGCTAACCTCCAGACAATCGACCTACGCTAACCTCCA